GTGCCGCCGCTGGCGAACGACGACGAGCAGCGCGCGCTGTGCCGGCGCAAGATCCTCGCCGCGCACCTCCTCGACGGCGCCACCGGCTGGTACGTTGGCACCGTGCAGCACTTCGGCGTGGGCTCCTCGTGGCGTCAGCCTGACGCGACGCACATCGTCATCTACTCCCAGAAAGAGACGGGCACCAAGCACCTCGCGGGCCGTGTCGCGTGCAAGCTAGCCGCCGACAACTATGGCGCGAGCGAGTGGTGGCTCCTGCTGGAGCCGGCGCCAGAGAGCTGAGCATGAGGGACTTGACGTGTTGCGTCACTGTTCACGCAAAGACACAACCCCGGGCCCAAGACTCACACTGTTCACACTATAGAGAGGGTGTAAATTGCGTTTCACCATGACTGTAGACTGAGAAGAAAGTGAAAGAACGACCTCTCTCTAAAAAGTCGTATGATTTCTAAAAATTTCTTCGCGCCTGCGGCGCGGCAGAGTAGAGAAATCGGGCCGGCCTCGTGCCAGCAGCCGATTTCTATTTCGGCCAGGGAAATCAGCCAAATTTCCAGCAGCCAATTTCTAAACACCGATTTCTAAGGCAAGAGCACGCACTGTACGTCTCTCAGTGTTGAGAGAGTGCAAAAACCGCTCAGTCCAGCATGGACAGGAGGTCCGGCCCCGGCCTCCAGCCACGAGGAGCGGGGGCCGGGGCGGGGGCGGGGGCGGGGGCAGCTGGCGACGGCGGCGCTGGCAGCGGCGGCTCGACCTCCATGTCCTCTTCTTCGGTGTCGGAGCCCGGAGGCAAGTCAACCATCTACAGGAAACGGGAGCGGTGAAGGCGTGCCTGGGCGGCGGTGGGAGTCCCACTCGCTGGGCCGCGCCCGCGGTGCGTTCGGCGGGGCGGTCTCTCTTTGCGGCGGCGGTCTCCGCGCCAGCTGATCTGCCAGATAGCCAAACAGGTCGGCGCACGCGCCAGGCATGGTGGGGGGCCGGCGCTTCGCGTGCGGCGGCCCGAAGCTGGCGAGCAGCTTAGCGACCTGCCCGACGCGGGTGTCGGCAGGCAGCACCTACAGCCGGAGGGCGAAGGAGCTGAGCGCAGTATTCCCCGCACCCTCGTCACACTCCCCCCTCGCCCTGCTCTGCACCTCCTTCAGCGCGGTGAGGGCGCGCGCCAAGCTCGCGTCGCCGAACGTCAGGTAGCGCAGGGACGGCCGGCGAGCGCGCGACGCGGCAAGCCACTGCACGACCGCCTTGAGCTGGACGCAGCCGCCAAAGGCGCCGCACCCCCAGTTGCCCGTGCAGAGGGGGCGGAGGGGCGCGTCGGGCGTCTCGCCGTCGGGAGGCGCAAACCCGACGAACGCCTGCGCGCAACACGCACTTTGGTGAGGGAGGCCCCTCTCTCCCTCGCCGCCTGCACGGCCCGCCGGCGCCTTGTTGAGCTCCCTCTCGATCGCGCCGCGGGAATACTGCCCCAGCCGCGTCTGCGCGTCGCGCCCAAAGGCAATCGCGTCGATGGCGAGCAGC